AATTATACATTGCTAATCTTAAAGTTTTAGGCCCAAATTCTACTTTACTTTTGCCTGTGTATACTAGATATTTGCAAAAATTTGAAAGGAGACTGGCTATTTACAAGATATTAAAGAAAAGAAAATCCAAATACTTGAATATACTGGGAAAATAAAATAGTGTCAAAAATTAAACAATCATTGTTTTAATACAAATAAATTGAACTTTGTTGCTGAAACAATAGATAAAAATGACTTCAGTGGCATTTGCACAGAAGAGATTCAGAACCGTGAACATACCCAAGTCAGAACATCAAAAACATATTTTTTGAAAGAAAGTTTGTTTATCAGAGTTGACTATTTCTAAACAATTGCAAAAATTCCCATGAATGCTGAAAAAAAAAATCAATCAGAAAACTAGACAACACCAAATAGCTTACATATTAAAGGATAAGATTTTTGATGAGTGTCAACAAGCAATTGATAAACATTTAAGTATCTTCTATGTGAAATGCCAGGCTCTGCTAAGATTCCTATTCTGTAAATGTCTCTTCCACATTTGGACTTTTCACTTTGGGTCCATGTAACTCTCTTCCCCTCTATCCTCAGCATCTGTTTTTGCTTTCTTTCACATGCTGGGTCTAATTCCTCTCCTTTACTTCCCATCAGCATAGTCCACAAATAAGTCTCATTTTAGGAAAGGGATGTTCTATCAAGCACTTTCAACCCAGCATTAGACAGATCAGCATCAAGTCACTTTTGCCTATACTCTACCCATAGTCTCTAAAATTCTATTAAGTGACCTTCCTCGGTTTAATTGTCCTTTTATGCTCCAGTTTGATACCAGAAAAACCTCCATTCCTATGCTGCAGGTTCCTTTACCTAGGTATCTCTAGACTAAGGGCTAATCTTTTAGCTTTGGTCTCCATCCAAGGGATTAAATTCTAGAATCAGTTCCTGACTCCCTCATAATATGCTCTGTACTAATGCAAAAAGCAGCACATATCTGCTTTTAAGGATAGACATGCAATGCCAAAATATTTAAAGCATGCTCAAAGATCTAAAGGATTATGGGGAGATCTAGTGAAGAGGCATGAAAATAACTGCTAATAATAATTAAATTATTAGACAAAAATACAAGAGACATATCAAGATAGTACCTGGTAAATTCCATATAAATTAGCTAATAATTATAAATTCCATGAGTCTCAGTAAGGAGAGGTCACTGGCTATAGTGAGAGGAAGAGGTAGTATAGTTAGGCACTTACAATGTGGATAGAATTTGGATTCAGGAAAGAACAGGAACTGAAGTTAAAGATTACATAAAGTATCAAATGTGTACAGTGTAGAGTAAGCCCAACAGCCTGGCTGTACTCTTAAGAAAAATGTGTGACATAGAAATTGCTATGGGTCAGGTTGAGACATTTCCATTTTTATCCATAATTTTGGCAGTATGATGATATTGATCAAAAAGAAAATAGTATATTCTACTTTTATATATTCTGATGAAAATATATACTTCAAAGTATCAAATAATAAATTCTATCATAAATTTTTGGATTGTAATCTCAGCTACTGGATTAAGTGAGAAGTCAACAATTGTCGTGTTGTTTGTTTCTTGTCTTGGTTTATTAAAATGTTTCCCCACAGAAAATCAAGTAGCATACTTTAATAATGCAGAACATATTTTTAAAAGTAGTAGTTATAGTGTGGGGTTTTAATCCTGGGTCTACAACCTTATTTAAAATTTATTGTGAAAGATATGCTCTGCAAATATTTATTATGAAGCCTTTGTTCTAGGCTCTGGGATACAGCAATGAGCAAAACAGACTAAGTACATGCCCTCATGCATCTTATATTAAGAGCTATGTGACCTTGGAAAAATTACTCAAAGTTGTATGTGGGTGTGTGTGTTTATGATACAAACAGGCTTTATTAGTTGCAAAAGAAAGTGGCAGAGGAGAGGGTATGATAGCTCCCACTCCTGGGGCAGCCGCCTCAGACTGAGTTTCCACCATCGAAACGCTGAAAGTTTTTGACCCACAGTCTCATCTGTAAATCTGGATCAGTATTAGTGATACTATATTTATATAAATATTTATACTTATAATTGTTTATAAACATTTAATAGAGTCCATCAAATAATAACTGGTCAAAAATTTATCTTTGCCATCAAATGTTGTTTATTATATTGTAAAATACATTTACTATACATGGCTTAATTTTCAAATTTCAAATACATATTATGTTTCCAATCTATAAAACAATGTGGTAAAGAAGAAAGAAGGGAAGAATCTACAGTAATTACAAGTTTGTTTTCAAAAAGTAGGTTTATTATCTACCATTTACTAGCTTTGTGATCCTAGACAAACATCTGTGTATCAGTTTCCAACTATAAAATAAGGATAAAATGATGTGATTCAGCTACCTATTAGGTTGTCACAAAGAACAGAAGATAATTTCAAATTGTAAATTGGTAATAAGTACATAAATAAAAGTTGATTTAGTTCCATCATATAAAATGCTCTGTGTCTGAAAATTACAAACACTTGGTACTTGGAGATATGTAGAGAGAAGAAGAGCACTAGAAGTTATTTCTAGAGTAGATAAAAATTACTAAGGAGTTAATGTGCCTTACACAAAATGAACTATTCTCTTTCCCAATACAGGGCCAAATCTTACTATCTAGAAGTATGTTTGAAGAATGAGAGCTTATCTCTGCCATTCGGCAAAATTCCAGATTTTAAGATAAATGAGGTTTACTAAAAAAACAACATTTCATAACTAAGACCATCAGATGCAAAGTTGTATTATGTATTTGGGCGTATTTTTGTCTTTTGGTGCTTTTGTTGGGAACCTGGATTGATGAGTGAAATGGGACAAAGAAGTAAAAAGAAAAGAGGGAAAAATGACAGGAGTGTAAAGAGAGAAAATAATTAAAAAGAAAACAAAAGGAAAGAGAGCAGATCTTAACAATGAAACAACATAAAAAGAATGTTGTTTCCTTGATATAAGAAAAAGCGGATATGAGGATAAACAAAGCAGATCTGAAAAACAGAAGAAAGAAAATGTATGCATACAAGAGAACAAAAGAAAAAAATCAAACCAATGGTGACAAGATAAAGAGAAAATAGAAAGGAATAAATAAACTTATAGGAAAGATGTCTGATATCTGAGATAGATGCTTAATCTGTACATGTCACAGGCAAATAAACTGTTTAAGAAGAAATAAACTTAATATACAATATCATTTGGTTTGCATTTCACATAAACAAGTAGGTACTCTATGATTTTATATTTCAGAAGCCTTATACAATTCATTTCTGGAATCTAGATATCAGAGGTAACCTTTAAAACATTTTAACCTATCGTAAGATGGTGGTTCACAGACTGGATCATATAGAAGGAAGCTTAGTACAACTGATAAAGAAGATGGTAACATCATGACCCCAATGTAATCATATAAAAGAAAAGGAGTAATATAACCACATGGGAACAAACAAGCTACTTATTACTTCTAAATATAATAAGTGTTCTTGCTTTTCAAATAATATATTAAATAGTGAGATGCTTTCTAAAAATTTAAATATTGTAATCTGCTTGATTCATTGTATGAAGTGCTTTGAGAATTCTTTGACGGGACACATTTTTTTCGGTCTTGAAAATTTATATCCTGTTATCACCACTGCTTAACTGTCATAACTTACTCAATAGAATGACCTATAAATAAAATGTTTTGAATGTTTAAACTACAATTCCAAAAAGTAGAGTGATTATGACATGAACTAGAAGAATAATATAGAAAATAAAAACTTAGAAAGCAATATATATCCCCTAAAAGGTGGTATGAAACATTTTATTAATGATCTTTTAAAGTAAATATAAAAATGTTATTTTCTCTATGTTTAAATGTTCTGAATTGCTCACTTTTGAGGAATATTTCAATATACTATTTTTCTTACCTAGTAGCATTTTTGACATGCTGTACTATTAAACTTCTAGCATCCATAATAAGGGCTTTGAAAATTCATGAATGTCTTATAGATATAATTTACAGTATGTATGTCAAGCTTCTGAATATGTCCAAATGAAAATAAAATTGTTTGTGCCCTTTATAGAATTAGAAATCCTTAGGCAGCACTGCTCTAATGATCCCATACTGTTAGTACTACAAAGTGCAAAAGTTCACTGGGTAGGACAAGGAAAAAGGACAGAGTTCCCTCATTGCACACTATCCCTAAACTATTTTGGCTTAAGTATTTATTAAGATATTAATTACTTTTCGTCCCTCTATCTGCCTTTAGACATTAGGCTGAGACACTATAGATAGCTGCTCATCATACAACAATGCTTTATCCAGTAAACCTTACCCCCCAAGATGAATGTTTTGTATGCAGCATTATTAATTCAGCAGGTAATATGTCTTAGAATTGTTAGGCTACATGTACTCTCTCTTATGGACAACATAACAGCATGTTATCTGTTTTAAAGATATGTTATGTTTCCTGAAAGAAACAGTATGTTGGGAAACTAAATTGACAAGTTTTCTGCATCTATCACAATAAAATTATTTTAGAAAATTTTTCTTGACGTATTGTATGACACAAAAGGAAATAGAATTTGCATTTGTGACTTCTATAAACTGTCACACTGAAATAAGAATGATGTGTTTTGTAATTTTGAATAAAAAACAAATTTAATCCAAGTAGACAACCATGGGAAATAAATGATGAAAAATTAAAAAAAAATAATAGTTTAAGAAAAACAAAATAGTCTGTATAAAATAAGATATCACTCACTCTGATATACAATTGCATCATTTCTTTTTCTCTTTGGGGGTTACGATACTTCTCATAGAAATCACGTCGCTTCTTTGTTTCTTTAGANTGTGTTTTGTAATTTTGAATAAAAAACAAATTTAATCCAAGTAGACAACCATGGGAAATAAATGATGAAAAATTAAAAAAAAATAATAGTTTAAGGTAAAGAAAATAGTAAAGAAAAGAAGTGATCTCACTCACTCTGATATACAATTGCATCATTTCTTTTTCTCTTTGGGGGTTACGATACTTCTCATAGAAATCACGTCGCTTCTTTGTTTCTTTAGAAACTTTATCTTTTCTTTCCCGTTTTTCTGCCGGTTCATCTGAACTATCAGATGATGACTGCACATGTATCTTCGGTTTTTCTACTTCAATATAGTTTTCATTGGGATTTAGTACTATTACTCCATATCCTTCCTGTTTTGAAATGAAAGAAGGTAGCATAATTTAAATCTTATAATCCATTTCAATTTTCAAAAAAGTTCTTAAAATCTCAGACTAAGTAATTTTTATAAAGCTGCATATTCAGTAAAACACTCCTTTAGGCAAGATTATGATTTTATTTTTTTCAAAAGGAAGTCATTTAAAATTGTTTGCCTTTATTGTATATATAAATAAATGTGTATTATTTACAAAAACAAAAACCATAATTGCAACACAAATATTACAAAACTTAAAAAGCAATTCAGATCTCTCAGAATCCAAAAAATAATTGAAATAAATTAGCAAATAACATGTATACTTTCAAATTATATTAATATTTTTATTATCTGCTTTGAGAAAACCTTTGAAATTGAAGTTTACAATTCAAACTACCTTTTTTGTGTGTGTATTTTTCTTTACAATGGCCCTTTAATGAGCATTTTTTATTTGTCTGAACAATGAAAAAGAATAAGCAGTTAAAGAAATGAATCTGATTGAACATTCCAAAACCATCCATATCTATATTGTCATAAACACATAACATCTACCTGTGAACCTTTAATTTTATTCACTTATTTTCTTAGAGAAGGCCAGAAAAATCAGAAAGCAAAATAAACCACTGTCTTACTATAATATATGGAAGCAGGTCTTTAATCTTAAAATTTCTTTTGTTTCTCAAACTATCATAAAAACTCTGCTTATTTGAAACTACAACCAGGAAATAAGTAAAGTTCCAAAGTTAAAAAAATATAGCTTGTTGAGCTATTAAGGCTTTAAAAAAAAAATTTGTAAAACATGTTTTCCTGTCTCATTTCTTTCTAGCCTGGGAAACATTTCTATGCTATAATTAAGAAAACATTTGATATTAATATTATGTATAATGGAATAAGCTAACCATGAGAAAATAGAGACAAACAATAACCACTGACAAGCATGGGTAACACAAATTTTTGAAGCTATAATATATCTTGTCTTTTTATTCAATTCTGTGTTGTGGGTGCCCCAATTATGCCCTTGTAAAATACTATAAGGTCATATTTAAAAGATGTATGATATTATAATAACATAAGAGTTATATAAAATGTTTATATTAAAATCTATTTAACATAAAATAAAACTTATAAAAATCTCATCCTTACTTTAAAAAGGTACTATGTATAGTTTGTCAAGATTGTAATTATAGAATCTTCTACTTGAAGTTTAAATTTTAAACTCTTTTTTTGGCAAACCAACCATAAGATGATTTTAAAAAATTGATGACAGCAGCAATAGTAAACCAGTATTAGCATAGACTCAATTATCTTATTTTAAAATATGCTGCATTGCTGCACATGGTTGGTTTTATTAAACAGTTGATTTCACAAACTACTTACAATCTTCCTTGGAATTTTTAATATTTTTTCCTCCAATCAGATGATATTATTGTCTAAAACCATGATTTAGTTTGGAAATTTTCAAGATCACTGAAGTTCTGATTTTAATGATTGGACTATTAATTAAGATATACTCCTCTTACATATGTGAAAACTATATAATAATATATAGCAAACTGATTTACAAAACACCACCCATTCTTCAACAGATGTTCAAATAAAGGTTTCAGAATAATGCTTTTTTCACAAAAGGCTTATAAAACACTTTACAAATTTTGTAATTTAAACATTCTACATCAAAACACAAGAGAATTTTTTTTTAAAGTTTCTTAGTTCTAAGTCAAAAGTTTTACCAACAAAAGATATTTTATTTGGTCCTGCTTTATTCTAATCTGCACAGCTATTCAAAAGTCTTGTAATTCATTGTGATCACTGTCAGGTAGACAGATTGTCACTTGGTGATTTTCTACAGTTGGACACACTTGACTAGTTATTAAAATCACATTTGAAGGAAGTTCCTACCCCTCTTCCTTGTGCCTCTTACAACTTTTCACGCCCTTCTCAAATTTCAGCTATAACTTCTCCTCCCACCAAAAGTAAGTTAAAGAACACTGTTGCACTCTGCCAAACAGGGTGAAATAGAGGCATTCACTACACTGTCTCTGGTGTAAGGAACATAGTCAAAAAAGGTCACCATAGGCCAAAAAGAAAATTGCCTCCTTACTAGATTCTGTACCGTGAGTAAGTGGTCTCCTGTCATGTTTCTTCCCTGCCTTCTCTTAGTGAATTGAACTTTAAACACACACACACACACACACACACACACACACACACACACACACACGCCCTCTCATACTCAGGAGTTAAAGTTAGCAAGACCAAAATAGAATTTAAAGTTAGTAGAGATGAAAGGAGTGATATACTACATTTAATGATAATATGAAAAATTTTAAATTAAAAATGTGGGACTTTAATAAATTGATATAACATGGCATCATCTTTGTATAATGAATAAATCTCAAATAAAGGTAAATTCTTTGAACAAAATTTACAGTCACCAGAACTGTAAAACTATTATCTTAATTTATTACTTAATACAAATAATATTTTCATATGGCTTATTTGAGCAGAACTTTAAACTTCAATTTTTAGAAATCATAGATTGAGAAATTATTGTGTCTACTTAATTTTAAATACACTCTGAAATTTGATATGTTCCATCTAAATAAGTACAAAAAATAGACATTTATAAATCATCAAAGAAGCAGTATTTGTCTAAGTTATTGATTACGTAACTGAAAATTACATGACTCATTTGTTCAATATTATAGACGCACAATGTCAAAGTTTCACTTAGGCATCAACAGATGAGAAATGATTCTATTTTTAAATCCATTCAAGATTTGCTATCATTTAGATTTCAACAATGAACGTTTCTATTGAAATAGCCAAACTATTTAGAAAACATTTTATCCTTTAGATATTTCAGGTTGTCAATTTAATTAATATGACAACAATCAAGAAATACTCAGGAACATTTTCTGTAGAAATGAGAGCTGATTTTAATAAATGTCTTTGTTGCAAATTCAATTACCATTCTGTAAAAAACTAACATTTTCAATTATACCATTTCTGATAAATTAATTAATGCAATATTCAGAGATCATTCATAACCATTTTATAATGAGTAGGAGAAAGCAGGAGTAAGAAAATAAAGTTAACTATCCTACCCATGTGCTCTAACCACAGATAAATAGTAAAACCTAATGTTTTCCTCCTTTTCTCTGTTATATATAACACTGCCAAAAAACTCCTTGATATAAGCTACAGATTTTTGCCATGTCAACATTAATACATGGAAACTAAGGAGTCAAAGGAAATAAAGTAAAACAAAGCAAAGACAAAATGTCAGTAGTTAAATTTCACTGTTTTAAATTGAATAATATCAACTACTTCAAAAAGCAGGCTACCATTTTAAAAAGTGATCCTTTCTATTCCCAATAACTCCATCAGTACAAAACAAAATTAGTAAAAAGAGATGCTAGTGTGACCTTTAGCGAATGTGCCCCTAAAGTTTTATGTAACTGCACTATAAAATCAGGAATCAAGTATATCTTAAAAGAACTGTGCATTGCTACTCTACTAAGGAAGGCTCCATAACTTATGCTTAGACTCTTAAACATTTTATATTGAAGAATTTCTTTTATATTTAATTATTCCTTGAGTATGTTACATTTCTCATAATACAAATAGGTCATTTCAAATACATATTGAAACCTTTTATCTTTGAAAAGATAAAATGATCAAATCGATTAGCATTCTACAACTAAATACATAAAACTTCTGGCATCTTTATAATGATTTACCAAATCAATTCCAATATCCAACATTTGAAAAGACAAAGCATACATAAAGTTGTTAATTAACTCATGTTTGATCAGTCTAGTAGAAATTAAGGTGATCAAGAGGATATATATTGGTAAAAGTAAGATTTATATCTTTAATTCATCTCATTCTATTTTTTACACTTTTGTAGCTATAACACTAGCTTCATTTTCAGACCTGTGTTTATAAGGTATAAACTATGGTATAAGGTATAAACTATGCGGCCTTAAACAGGAACCCTCAAAAGTACATTCCCACACATAGCATTTTATTCAGCACAAGTACTTGTGATTTAAATAGAATACACAGGTCTTTAGGCCTTCTTTACTTTGAAGTCTGTAGATGATGGCTTAGGTCAGAGAGGTCCAAAACAAACAGGTGATGCCAAACCCAAAAAGGAAAACTTTGATAGGCAAATTATATCAGAACAAATATGCACTTATCAAGAAGATTCCGTAAACAAATAAAATCTTAAAATGACCAAAACCAGTCTTCTGACTCCAAATGAAATCTTGATAAAACTGAAGACTTATCCATGTTAATTTGCCTAGTAATTACCAATTATAAGAAAAATGGAAAACGGGCAAATTCTATGTCTTTTCAAATATCTTGTGGTTGGCTAAATAAAAAATCAGCTGAAAGTACTTGGCTCTGCATATTAACCTGACAATACCGAAAGCCACATGTGACCAGAGAGGGTCAGGGGTCAGAGTAGAATCCTTTGACCTATGGAACTATCTGTTTTGGTCTTCAGGCAAAGCTCAGTAAGAGATCATTTTACACAAATTTATCAATCATATTTCTCAAGTTCAGCTTTTTATCTGCTTGGTTTGAAAGAAGATAGGTGCTCAGCCTCAAGGGAAATAAAACTCAAAGTGCTTCATCTATAAACGACATCTACCCATAGACAAACCACTGTCCATTCATCTTCTCTGAAAGATGTATGTTGTATTTATTCTCATCTTTTTCCGAGAAGGGTGTGTATATGTCACTGCTGCAACATCCTAGGTGCAACAGTGAGATGAGGTCATGACAACCAATCAGAAGTCACTAGTGAAGCGTTAAAGTAAACATAGCTGTTGGAGCTGCAGCTCTGCTTGAAAAATGCCCCCTCCATTATTTTAGCAATTTTCTCAAGACGTGACCTGGGACTGAAACGCGTGAAATGTCACTTGACTCTGTTTTGTGTTTCTTCTCAATGTGCATTTAGGTAACAGCACTCTACTAATATTTTGT